TCATACATCTTTGAAGTATTTGCTTAAGGTTTATATCAAATATGTGTTATTGTAACTTAAAATTTTTATTGGAATTAATTTGTTATGTTAGATAATATAAATTTATGTATTCGCGTAAATTGCAAATGGATAAGCCCTTCTAGAAGGCATGCAAGGAAGTACTTCTTCATCCCTTCTTGGGTAGGCCTCTTAAGATGGCTTCACTTAAGAAGGCTTACTTAAATTATCTTCTGGGCACTCCATACAAAAAAGAGAGGAATGTGGAGAGGAAGGCCACTTGACTCTCAGGAAGGCCTTTCGGAAGGGCTTTTAACTCCTGAAATTATCTACTGGGTTCGTATCTCGTTATTCAGATACAGCCTATTCGGCTCAGCGAACCACCTTGGTCTAACATAAAATTATGTCGCCTGAGGAATAAGAAAAATAAGGGTAAAATTCGAAGTCCCGCCATACGAGTGTGATAGAAAAGCATAAAGATATCCACACACCTATGCGATTCTGTCGGTGCGAATCTGTTCCGACAAAATTTACAACAATACCGACCATAGTCGATGCATCGATTTATTCGAACATTCACAGTTCTTCTTTTGGTCGTGCCGAAATCGCAGACTGCGCGTTTTGAGAATGAAAAAGGTCAATAGAAGGATTTTACTGTAGGAGTTTTCGCTATGCAACTGCCAGTAAGAATTAGCCCGTAACAAAATTCAGAGAATAAGGTACCTTACTCACCCAAAGACAGAAACTTATTAAGTTTTGCGCGAGCAGGATTTAGCAAGCATTTGCAGCTGGCGTCCATGGTTGCATTTCGATCATAACAATTTTTTTTAATATTTCAGGTGGAAATCAAAACAGGACCTATACGTTTATTTCTTCTTATTCTGACTTTCTGCAATATACGCTTCAATTTCTTTGTGGAAGTACCTGTCGGATTTCCTATATCGACAGTGGTGTCGACTGGGTTCCTATGACGAATACAGCTTTTTCAGCCGAGTATCTTTCAAATGTTTGGAATTAATTAAATTAATTGAATAAACAAATATTTACATACTTCTTTCATTAGTAAATCGCAACAAGATTGTTCATTTTTAATTTTAACAAACTTGTTGATTCAAATTAATGTTGACAAAAATGCAACCGTGTGCCACAATTCTGCTGGCAAAAATTTTCCCAGCACGAATTTGCAACTTCCCCTCCAAATGAAATGTCAAAATTGTGCTCTCTCCTTGCAAGTTTTACTGGGTTTTTGGCTAAAGGAACACGATTTGGTAACAATTGGTACCAACTTGTAAAAATTTTTTGAATAGCGAACACTCCTTATATTAAAACAAAGTTGAACGTAAGAAAACAAAACATATTTGATGTAGAAAAATTAAGAATTTTATTTTTATTTTTTATTTTTTTTTTTGTCTATAGATTGACAGTTTTTACTGCGATAAAATCGCACGGATGTGTGCGTACTTGCGTTTTCGAAGCAGTAACGTCTGTAGCATCAAAAACGGTGCGGATTCGTTGCGACAGAATCACATAGGTAGATGCCTTAAATCACTTTACCAGAAATTGATCTTCGAAAGGGAGAGCAAGCTAAATTCGAAACCATCTATCTTTTTTTTGCATTTTATAAATTCAAAAATAAAAAGGGCCTGGGCACTTACTACAAGAGTTTTAAAATGCTTGTGTAAAATCGAGTAAATTCTTACAGCCCATGATACAAAAAAGAAGGTAGTTCCAATGTCACTTTTTCGTCGCCATATTAACAACGTGACAATTAAGTAGATTGTGACATTTCGTGCTACCGTAACCCAAAGCCAAAAATTTTAACACACACGTATGGTCAAACAATTAAACGTTAGTTTAAAATAAAAATTTCAAATTTACAGATACAAATTTATGATTAAATTCAGTTTTAAATATGGACCTTTTTGTAAAAATACTGTGGTCAGCGTAGCCGGAGTTGGACTGATGAGGGTTATTTTTTCTATGCGCTGCCAACGTAGAAAGATATTTTGCGCAAAAATCCTGTTGTTGGCATAACCCGAGTTTACTTTTCTCTGTCAAAATGCTAATTTTACCCCATTTTTAAATGGATTTTGTTTCACACCCCCTCCAATATTGAACAGTAAAATAGATTTATTTTTACCCAAAGAAACAACGATATTGTCAAAATATACTGGACATTTCTAAAGCATCGAATCCGAACCTACAATATTGTTTTCAGAATAAAAAGACATAACATCTTTTAATACAGTTTTATTTAAAACAAAACAAAGAGAAAAAACTTCAAAAACAAGTATAACAAATGTTGATCAAGATTTTAAAGATTTTAATCAGATATTCTAGAATTTTTTGAGTATGTAGTTTTATAGCCCATTAAATTGTTGTATAAAAACGTGCAAAATTGAATTTGCATGGGCTTACAGTGGATTTTCGGAAATTTTTTGTTCGCGCATTATTATTCCACCAAACAAAGTATGTTCAACAATTTTTTTTTATAGAGAAAATGAGAAACATCTTCCACAAAAAAAAATTTACCAAACATTTTCACTTTGAATTGAATGGGCTACAAAACTGCATACTTAGAATGTTTTTGTTTTTAATGTTAATGAATGTTTTTACACTGAGGTTAACATTAATATACCTGTGCTAGTGACATGTGCATGTGAAATGACCATCTGTGCAATAGTATATTGATGAGTTTTAAGAAATTTTTAAGCCAACAAAACACGATTTTCTAGCGTCTTGAAATTTGCACTTAAACCTACTAAAATTTAATCAGCTACAAAACTGCGTACCCATAATTTTTCTAAAAGTTCTAAATAAAAACTTAAAATTGTTTGGGTGCAAATTCTAAAGTTCGTTAAATTTTCATAAATTTTGTACGAAGTTGGTAAGGTAAAGTGCGGAACTTTTATAATAAATATAAACATTAAGTAAACAAAAGAAAAATAGTCAAACTAGTCAAAATGTCACTTGCCTTAGTCAGCTGACCACAAGGGCACATACATATGTATATATGATATGAAATAAGAGCTTGTCAGACCTGGCAATGCAATATATTTCGAAAAGGCTGTCAAATTCAGAAATTTCAGAAAGCAGTTGCATGAGCAGTCACACCTTGCATGCAAAGTATCTTTCGAAAGAGGTTTTTTTATTACCGAAAGACGAATTGCAGATGGTGAGTGCAGCACGAGCAAGTTGAATTATACATACATATGTACATATCTATTTCCGAAATCGATTTTCGCTCTCTAAATTGCAGTAAAACCTTGCAACTTTTATTTCTGAAACTGATTTCCGAAATGTTACAGAAAGGTCAAACATCGAAATAAAATTTCTCTTTCTCTATTTGGCAGTGAATTGCGTGGAAAAGTAGGAAATATTGCCACGTCTGACACGGTCTATACACTTACCAAAAATAAACCCAGAAAAAAGTTCAGCGCAAAAATACTGTGAAAAGCGTGACCGGGTTTTTTTATAGCGAGGACTGGAGACAACATGTTGCATATCAAATGAAAGCTTAATTCTTGTATTAAGTACATATTTTTAAGAATTTAAAATATTTAATTTGGTAAGTTTAAAAAAATCCATATCTATGGTTCAGCATTTTTGGCTGAAATTTGTCTGAATGAATTTTTCGTTCAATACGATTTCCTTCTGCACTTCACAGATGCTTTTTCGGGGTAAAAAAAATAAGAAAGCGCTCCTGACGAAAAACGAACCCGGCACGATCTGGAAACAATTATTAATAAAGAGGTTTGTAAATTCACGAGCGTGTGCTGCGGTTGCTGTTCAACTTCTCACTCGACGTTAGTTCGAACAGCTGTCAAAATAATGAGAGTGTTGCCACTCGATTGGTTTTGGATATTATCCATTATCCAACATCTCCCCTTTTAGCTAGAAACTTCATATTGTTCATGCCAAGTTGGTGGACGCCTGGAACGATGTGAGCGTCGAACGTTTGTGGAGACTGAATCATCTGTCGGTTGGGACGGATGCTGAAATCGTTGTTCAGTTGTCATGTCTGGTTCCAAATGAAGTTGTTCAGTGTCAATGTTGCGCTTACGAATTTGATTCGGGTGTGAAGTTATATGACGATTTCTATCATGCTCTTCAAGCATTACTTTGTAGTTAACACTGCCAATCTTTTCCAATATGATGCCTGATTGCCATGTCATCTTATTGTTTTTAAATACTTTAACAAAAACTTTCTGATTTACATCAAACTGTCGAAGTTTAGTACCATGTTTACTGTCAAATTGTTTTTCCATTTTTGTGTTCTTTTGTGGACTGTCAAATTTTGGTTTCTTTAAAAAGTCAATTTCTGTGCGAAGCTTTCTACCCAGGAATAATTCTCCTGGTGTCTTCCCCTCCACGCAATTCGGATTAGGTGTTGAACGATATTGTAATAGAAATTCTTGAAGATTTTAGTTGTCTTTCGTCTCTTCTGTGAAAGATTTTTCTAAAGCTCGTTTTACTATATCCGAGTACCTTTCTGCTTGTCCATTGCTTTGTGGATGGTACGGAGCTGTTTTAAAATGTCGGATGTTTCGTGCCTTACAAAATTGCTGAAATTCTGCACTGACAAACTGTGTACCATTATCCGAAACGATGGATTCAGGATAACCGAAACGGTTGAAAAAGTCTGACAAAATATCTATGACCTTGGCTGTTGAAATGGTTGTGGACTGATATGCCTCAGGCCACTTTGAATATGAGTCGACTATAATGAGATAGTACTTTGAACGAACAGGACCTGCAAAATCTATGTGAATGCGTTGCATTGCTCTTTCTGCAATAGGCCCTGAACTTAATTTTGTTTTCACGGGTGTCTTAGCATTGAGCTGACATTTTCCACATGCGCGCACATAATCTTCTATGTTTTTATCTATGCTTGGCCAATACACATGACTGCGTGCAATAGCTTTCATTCGTTGTTGTCCTTGATGACCTTTATGTAACGTCTTAAGGATTCGATTTCGGTATGTTAATGGAATAACAATGCGTTCCCCATCTAACAATATGTTATCAACAACTGAAAGTGATTCCCTGCGATTAAAATATGGGATCAAGTCGTTGTTATGCAATGATTTTGCATCTTTGGGCCATGCTGTCTGAACGTGAAGCATAACTTGTTGAAGTAGTGTGCATTTTCGTGTAGATTCTTCAATCATGTGATGAGTAATTGGTAGTGTATTGATGCTGTCATGTACTACTGATCTGATGTTGTATTCTAGTGTAGCACATGCGATTACAAAATCTTCATCATCAACGTGCTTAGGTGGTATCAGTCTAGATAGCATGTCGACATTTCCGAAATGTTCAGTTTTTACATGTTCAATACCAAAATCATATGACATTAGGGTGAGAGCCCATCTCTGAAGTCTACTTGTTGAATGTATTGGAATTCCCTTTTTTGCTCCAAAAATTGAAAGTAGTGGCTTATGGTCGGTACGTAGAATAAATTTCTGACCGTACACCATGCGATGAAATTTTTTTACTGCGAAAACCAAGGAAAGTGCTTCTTTTTCAATTTGCCCATAATTTTTCTCTGCGGGTGTCAGCGATCTTGATGCGTGTGCTACCAGTTTTTCAGTTCCATCCGGCATAATGTGCGAAATTTGTGCTCCAAGCCCTTGCATGGATGCATCTGCTGCCACTATAATTGGTAGTTGTGGATTAAAATGTGTAAGCATCAAGTCTGACGTTAAAATAGTTTTGAACTTTTGAAATGATTCTTCGCATTTTGTTGACCAAAACCATTTTTTCTGCGACTGTAACAATTCATCAAGCGGTGCTCGAAGTGATCTCATTGTTGCAATGAATTTACAGTAAAAGTTTACTGAGCCAAGAAATGACCTCAGTTCATTGACATTAGTTGGTCTTGGCAAGTTTATGATAGCCATTATTTTATTAGGGTCAGGACGAATGCCCTCTGTATCTACTATATGACCTAAGTATTTTATTTTAGTTTGAAAAAATTCGCATTTGTCATAGTTTACTGTGATGTTGTACTCCGCAAAACGCTGTAGTACTTGTCTAATTGATTTTACATGCTGACTTAAATTATTGCTTGCAACTATAACGTCGTCTAAATAGGGTGTTGCTTCTTGAACGCCTATTAGAACTTTTTCGATTGCTTGTTGAAATGCACCCGGTGCTGATTTAATTCCAGGTACAAGCCTGTTAAATTTATATAATCCCCGGTGTGTATTAATAGTCAAAATATTTTTAGTGACCTCGTCGACATCAAACTGCATATACGCGTCATTAAAATCAAAACGTGTAAAGTACTTACGACCTTTGAGATTTACGAAAATGTCTTCTGGCAATGGCAGTGGATGAAAGTGTGCTTCTACACACGCGTTGAGACCTGTTGAGTAGTCCGCACAAATTCTGATTTTACCATTCGGACGTTTCACTATTACAATTGGTGCTGCCCAATCGGAATAGTTTGTTGGAGTGATGACGCCTGCGTCTTGAAGTCGATTTAGCTCTGCTTCCACCATTGATGTTACCGCATACGGGACTGGACGTTTTGGACAAAATTTTGGAATCGCGTTTGGCTTTAGTGGTAGATGAATTTTAATTTTCTCGCAGTGTCCAAGCTCTTTATGAAATACAGTAGGAAATTCTGCTTTGAATTTGTTCTGCTTCTTTCTCTGAGAGTTGTACTTTCATGCAAAATGCATTGATAGGTATATCCCAAAGACCAAATTCTTCAAAGAAGTCTGCGCCTGCGATATAGAGATTGTTGACCAATGTGACTAACACCTTCATTTTCTTTGTTTCGCCTTGATGTGTTATGTTAGCAATAACCTCGCCTTTGAAGCTGATTTTGTTGCAATTCGCGTCGCGAGCTGTATGTTTAGTTGCATTCAACGTTGGCATGTTGATATTCTTCCATACTT